GCATAGAGGCAAAGGAGGCAGTTCAAGCCCTACGATGGTAATCCTCACTGTTGAACTTGATGGAATCCAGAATCACCATGGAGACACCTCTGGGTGTATCTATGAGGGTGTTTTCAGAAAGGACTAGCGAGGGAAGACCCAGCCCCTAGGGTCGGTGCACTACCCCAGAGCTGAATGAAAGAAGCAAGCAAGTTTGGTACCAGCATTCATCTTGCTCTGCTTCCTGACTGCGGATGTCATGTGACCAGCTGCCTCCCATTCCTGCTTCCTTGCCTTCCCCACCAGAATAAACTGTACCCTCCAAGTGTTAGGTTTCTTTGTCAAGCATTTGATCACAGCACCAAGAACAGTAACTCATATGACCTCACGTGGGAACCTCTGGGGAACCAAAATCCTCCTGGGCAGTAACAGTCTTGTGCGATTTTCAGAATACAGTGACCAGTTCTGGAAATTCAGCCCCAGTTAGGTTTATTATAAGAGTTCCAGAAAGTGTGGAGGGAATGAATTACACAATAAACAACATTCTATCCTCTTCATCTGCCAATAAGGATGCTACAGCAACCAAGATGGTGTGCAAATCCTCTGAGGGCATGTGACCTCACAGGCACACTCCTTTTAAATCCTACTGTATTTTGGAAACCTAATGTTTTCCTCACGTCTCAGAGGATGCTTTCAGGATGAAGCTGAGAACAGAAAACTGGAAAAGCTGAGCTGCACCGAGAGGAATCCTTTTCTGAACCTCAAGAAAATGAATGCATACACAAACATGTGTGTATGCGCACACACACAAGCTCACATACATGCATATAAACACACACATGCACATAAACGCACATGCACATATACACATATATAAGCACATGCACATACATATAAACCTACAAACACACACAAGCCCATATATATTTAATGTAGTATTGTTACCATTCAGCAGTTGATGGCAAGTAAAAACAACATCTCTGATATCCCTAAAGGTCCACATTTGAATCCAGGAGCCTTGGCTATGGATTCCTCTTACCACCTAAGAGGAATTGAGGTGGCAGAGAGAATTCATGTTGCTGACCAGCTAACCTCACAGTAGACACCGTGTATATGAACCAATCTACTAATGCCATTTCTACAGCTTTGTGTGTTTTATCCCACGTGTCCTCACAGCAGCCTGGTGGTGTAGGGACCACGGGTCACAGCGAACACAATTTTCTGTCATCTTGCAGTGAACAAACCCTGACGTTCTGGTCACCACCACCTACAGAGGGATGCGTATGTCCTTCATCCTAGCCCAGCAAAGATGTCAAAGCAAGGTGTCAGTGATTAGTTGTTGGTGATGGCACCGATGTCATTCAGTTTGCAGGGCCAAAATTTAGCTGCCTCTCTATAGTCTGAAACTGATGGGAATCAGCATGATGGCATGGAACTGTGGCCTGGCAGTTCTGCAAGTAGACACCAACCTGCTCAGAGCAACACGAGGGGATTCTGTGCCACTTTAGAAGCTTCTCTGATGAGAGGCAAACAGACTGGCTGAAAGTCACCAGGAGGAGCAAGGTCATGGCCATATGAGCTGTCTCAAGTTCAGAGTCTCCACCATCCTACAGATGCAGCACTGAATGAAGCAGGTCTTTCTCATTCTGGAATATTCTTCCAGACTTGCTTTTTCATACCTTCAGCTCTAAGTTCTAAGACCTCCGCTTCTTAAAGTCCCTCCGAGGCCTCAGTTTCTCCAAAGTACCTACTCAGTCCTCTGCTGTCCTAGACTGTTGGTCCATAATGCAGAGGAACCAGGTTGGAGACATCAGCTCATATTCCGGGGGTATAATGTGAGGCCCCAATGATAAGCCATGCATTTTATGGAGTTTTTTTTTTCAGTGCAGAAGATGGAGGGCAGAATAAAAACAGTAGAAGCATTACAAGAGCGTAGGGCTGGGCCTGGTGACATAGACTGCAGTCATCACTATTCAGGGAGCTGAGGCAGGAGGATGATGAGCTCAAGGCCAGCATGGCCATAAAGTAAGATCCTGAATAAAACACAAAGGGAGTGGGGAAGTGGTGCAGGATAATTGTCTGTATTCTGTCAATTACATTTTAAATAAACACTGATTGGCCAGGCAGGAAGTATAGGTGGGTCAACCAAACAGGAAGTAGAGGTGGGGCAAAGAGTACAGGACTATTCTAGGAAGCAGGAAGCTTCCTCCACAGTCCAGCCCAGACCACTGAAGAAGCAACAAGTGAGCTGCCCAGCTAGAAAAGGTACTAAGCCATTTGGCTAGTATAGATAAGAACAATGGGTTAATATAAGTGATAAGAGGTAATAAGAAGCCTGAGCTAATGGGCCAATCAGTTTATAATCTTATGGAGACCTCTGTGTGATTTTCTTTGGGGATTGCTGGCTGTGGGGTACTGGGCAGGACAGAAAGCCCAACAAGCAGGCCCCTTCATGTTACAGGGAAGGTGGAGAGAGGGTTGTGCCTCAGCCTGTGATGACAGAGGCAAGCTGAGCTCAGTGGTTAGACAAGGAACTCTCCTGTTTCAGGGCCTGAGCAACCAAAGCCAGCTGATGGTTTCTCGGGGCGGGGGGTGGGGTGGGGGTGGGGAAGAGGAAGTGAAGATGCAAGGGACAGACCCCAGGCTTGGGGAGCAGACATTCCCACATTCCAGTCCTGCCTCACCTTAGTCCTAACTGTGTAGCCTCGGAACAGTTTCTGAACTGTCCTTGATCAGGTCTGGATTCTCTGCGGTGCCCTTGCATGATGAGCTGAGACCAGGTGAGCCCTTTGCCTGTGCCCCAGGACACAGTGGGAGCTCAGAGCCTGATCTCTTTCCTTCTAAGTATCTAGAGGGCAGGTATGAACTCTGTTGGGCCACGCCACATTTGTATTGTAAGATCCATTCACCTATCTCTTTATTTCTCTACAAAAACATGAAGGAGAGGCAGGCCACGTCTGATTCCCAGGCTCCTGCGTGAATTTCCATCTATACAAATATCTTAAACAAATCCATACTGTTGTTTAACTCTTAGAAGATTAAAATAGACTTTAAAGTGAGGTTTAATTTTGTTTCAATCAGAAAAAAATAATGCCATATGAAACCCTGGCTCTACCATTTGATCCACCTGTCCCTCTGTGTTCCCGGTTGTGCCACTACCACTGAGGCAGAAAAGCAGGCTGTGTTCTTCAGACCTCACATAGCTTAGGGACTCTGAAGAAAGATCACACAGCAACAAGGACTACTGCTGATTTTCTAAGGGCGTCGGGTTCTCTGGAGCCTTTGAAGCCATCTTTGGCAACCATAGCGAACCTCCACTTATTCTATGTGAGCTCCCGGACAGTTGGGGGTGGGAAGAGGAAGCAGAAAGAGTGGCTAGAGGCTCTCCAGAGGGACTTGTACTAGGAGGGAGGACACATCCTTCATGGTGGATGGCCAGGCAGGGCAGAAATGTCAGAGCATAAACACAGGGTCCACTTGTAAACATCCCTTGAAAGTCCTCCCCAGGGCACACAAAGAGCCAGGACAGTGATTCTGACCTGCTGACCACTGTGCCATTGTGTCCAGTGATTTCCGAATGTTCGCAGGCACTATTTCAAAAAAGGGTATTGCAAGGGTTCCTTGCCCTGCTGGTGGCCTGTCCTCCCTCTGCCCTCAGGTCCTGCTTTGGTTACTGTTTTGGAAACACGTGGTACAAGTGCTGGATTCAATGGCAGTGGCCAGTGCTGTCCAGATATGAGCATTGCACAAGAAACTACCTGGTAATGGCTTGGCCATCGTTGTCCTTGCCTATGGAGGCTTTTATGGAACACTTGCCACGATCCAGCCACTGTGATGATGTGAGGCTACAGCCACAGACAAGACAGGCACATGGCCCCAGCTGGAGCAAGAGCTCCAGCGGTCCAGAGACAGGCAGCTGGCTCCCAAGTCCACAAGAGGAACAGTGTGGACAGGGTAAATGAAGAATACAAGTCACACAGGTTGTCTTCCAGATGTGCCAGGAAGCTACTGAGCCATGAATGGACAGGATAATAGCCAGGCAGGGAGGGCAGCCAAGCGAGAGCACAGGGTTTAGATGTGAATTCCTGAGACTCTTGAGGCTAAGAAGAATATAGAATCAGGTGCTAATAGGGGTCATCATACATCAAGATGGGGAGACATTTAGGACAGAACCTCAAGAGTCTGCCTGGAGTCAGCCCAGTGGTGATGTCTGCCCCCATGGGTCTCCTACTTAGGCTGGACAAGTTTTGTCCTGTGTGAATGTTGTTATAGGTCTGGGGTCACTCAGAGATTCATCATAACCATGAATAAGTTTTAATAAAAAGAGGCATTTTTTTAAGGTACTGACATTCAACATGGGGCCTGGACTGCACCTGTGAGCACCCCCAAAATGCAGCCCCTAGTCATATCAGCCCAGGAATTATAAAGGCAAAACCCACAATATTACATGTAATCTGCCTATCTGTAGGCAGGGTGTCTTAGTTAGGGCTTCTATTGCTGCGAAGAGACATCATAACCATGGCAACTCTTATAAAGGAAAGCATTTAATTGGGACTGGCTTACAGTTCAGAGGTTTATAGTAGGAAGCATGACAGCCCATAGGCAGACATGATGATAAAGAAGCCAAGAGTTCTACATCTGGATTGGCAGGCAGCAGAAAAAGACAGTGAAACTGGGCCTGGCTTGAGTATTCAAAACCTCAAAGCCCACTCTCAGAGACACACTTCCTCCAACAAGGCCATACCTGTTGTGGTGGTTTAAAAGAAAATGGCCTCCAAGGGGAGTGGCACTATTAGGAGGTGTGGCCTTGTTGGAGGAAGTGTGTCACTGTGGGGGTGGGCTCTGAGGTCAAGCTGCATTCAGTGTGACACTCAGTCAACTTCCTATTGCCTCTGAGTCAAGATATAGGACTCTCGGCTCCAGCACCACACCTGCCTGCACACTGCCGTGCTCCCGACCATGATGATAATGAACTGAACCTCTGAAACTATAAGTAAGCCACCCCAACTAAATGTTTTCTTTGTAAGGGTTGCCATGGTCATGGTGTCTCTTCATTGCAATAAAAACCCAAACTAAGGCACCTATTCCAAAAAGGCCACAGCCCCTAATAGTGCCACTCCCTAAGAGCCTATGGGGACCATTTTTATTCAAATCACCACAAAGACTCTTTTTAAAATACGTATGTCTTGCAATTGTCCTAATCAACCTTTAAAGCATAGTAAGCAAGCTTGATTACAAAAGGAGAAATAGCAGTTAATCTTATGACCTATTATCTTGTAAGAACATCAGAATTTACAGATTCAGTCAACGTCTGGGAAAAAGGAAAGTGAGCTGACAGCCTGCAGAAGGTCGGGGTTTGCATGCCAGATGCCTTATAAATCATAAACATAGCAATTAAACCTTCCAATGTAATGCTAGCCATCACAAATGCAAGCACCTTTGATCTCCCTTTGTGATTGGCTAAGGAGGGAATTCAGTGGTCAATTAGGAGCTAGCAACCAAGGTTGAGGAGAGACGCTACTTGGGACATTAGCTAAAGATAGGGCTGCTTCTTACCAAGACACCTAAAGTTCCAGAGGTGTCTATGGCCATACATACTGCTTGTAAGTGTTAGGAATTTTTCCTAACATGAGCTCTCTGCCAATGCAAAATCCCAATCAAGCCCAATCAAAACAAGCCAAATTAAAAAATAATGGGATTCCTGCTCTCTCAGGTGGCCCCCGAGGGGGAACCAGGAGGCTGCAAAGGAGACCACCAGGAGGAAGAAAAAGAGACCACATGTTCCTCTTTTGGGAGTTCACTTAAATACCCTGTGGGAGTGGTCCTGAACCCCGAGGGAGGGGTCAGGACCTGGCATGCTGGGATTTGGAGTCCAGACCAATACAACTTTCAGGCCTGGGGGCTAGGATAGATGCAAGGAGCTGGGGTCTATGCTCCCAACTTAATATTCCAGACTCTTTGGATATAGGGATGACATGAAATTGAAATGATAGGCTCTCTGAGAAAAAGGAACATTGACTCAAGTCTGGCTACTTCCTGCGGGTATAGGGCGACGCGGGGAAGGGGAGAGCTAGGTGTTGGTGGGTCCATGCTCAGCAAGAGGTGTGGCTGGAAAGGCATCCCATGTACTGTCATCCTGGAGATGTCAAGCATCTGTCCCTTGTGGGAGGTGAGAAGGCAAGTGTCTAGGAAGAAAATATTGTTATTACCAAAGATGAGTAAGGCAGGATGCTGAGCAGGTAGGCCCTTCATTATGGCATCCTGGAAAACCAGAGGGTGGAAGGTCCTGTCTGCCGGGCAGACCAAATATTCTGAGTAGGTGCCCGCTTGAGCCTAGAAAGATGGTACCAGCATGGGTGTCCCAAGAGCTTGGCAGCCGAGGGTGTGGTGAGGATTATGTGTGAGGTCCTGTCCATCGAGGTTCAAGAGACCTAGGAGTTAACTGAGGAGTACTCTGTCCCCTGGGAAGAGCGGGGCAGGTTTAGGGGCATTAGGGTTCACTGGTGTGGGGGCAGGGAGACAACTGTCAGCGTGTGGACAGAGAAGGGACCTCAGAAGGGAGAGGTAGGGTAGGTACCCTACCAGTGGAGGAGTGGAACTGGGAGGTAATAGTTAAGGAGAAAGGGCCTGCCATAAAGCAGCTCAAAAGGGCTCAGGCCCGTAGGGTGGCCCTGAGGCGAGTTAGGGCAATGGGGAAAAGGAAGGGCCAAGATAACCTGAGTTTAATGGAGAACTTGGTTAGTTGTTTGATGAGTTCGTTGTCCGTCTGGATGGTTAGTGGGACACTAAACCAAGGAATGATGTGGTCCAGGAGTACCAGAGCCATCACATCTGCTATTTTCCTGGAGGCTGGAAACGCTTCTATCCATCCTACCAATCTATGTCCAGTTGGTGTCTGCAAAGCTAGTGTAGAGACTGACGTATGTGGAGAGCCCCTTGTAGGTTGGCCTGGGCACACGTCTGGCAGGAGGAGTGAACCTGTAAAATAGAATCTCAGAGATGGGTGGGGTCAAAAAGGGACTCCAAGAAGCAGAACAAAGCTTTGGGGAAGCAGTTAAGGATTTCTCCACCCAGTCAAGGTGATGGGCATCAGGTATCACTAAGAAAGAATGAGAGAAAAATTGTCATGCAAGAATGCGGGGCAGTGGCAAAGTTTTAAGTGGGGAGGGACGGGTCCTGTCTATCCCCATAACTGAAATTGGTGAGGGGAACTTAAGGTCCAAGTGAGAAGTTAGAACAGAATAGGTATCTCCCATGTCCAAAATAAAAGTAATGGACTTACCCACTTGCAGCTTTACCCTAGTCTCGGACAGGGTTACGGGATATACCAATTCTGGGCAGTCAATCCTCAGAAGGCTGAGAAGTTTGAAGGCTGGCACAGTTTCACTTGGCAATGTTGGTGAGTCTGGACCTGCATGGCATAGAGGAAAAGCCCACATGGGGGCCTTGTGATTTCCAGTGTCCAGGTTGCTGGCAGATGGGGCACAACCTCGAAGGAGGTGTAGTGCAATATCGTGCCACATAACCATTTAGGCCACACTTGAAACAGCTTGCCTGTGAGGCTGACTTAGGCTGGGCTCTATCAGGGTAGAGCCCTATGGTTGGCTTCCCTTGTCCCCTTTCCTGTGGCCAAATTAAAAAAAAAATCCAAGTGTAATGGATTTCGGCACTCTCGGGTGGCCCCAAGAGGGAACTAGGAGGCCAGGAACGCAACCAGGAGGAAGGAAAAGATACCACGTGTTCCTCTTTTGGGAGTTCACTTAGATACCCTGTGGGAGTGGTCCTGACCTCCCAGGGAGGGGTCAGGATGTGGCATGCTGGGATTTGGAGTCCAGACCAATGCAACTCTCAGGTCTAGGGGCTAGGATAGATGTGAGGGCCTGGGGTCTACGCTCCCAACTTAACAGTAGGGTCAGGATGGTAAACTGGATGGAATAAAACAGACTGCTTCTCCTGGAAGGGTCAGTACTCAGAGGGTGACCTGGCCTGGTTCCTGCCTCCACCTAGGATGCAGAGGCCTTTCTCATTGGGAAAGCTGTTGGGAGGTCCAGGGATTTTATTGTCTTTCCTACTCTACTTAACTCTTCTTTTGCAGGTCAAGGGCCAAGGTGAGATTAATGCAATGGCAAGTATGCCCTTCCTAAAGGCATTTACACCCCAGGGAAATGACTGTGGTGTTTATGGCTGCAGGACACCCCGAGACATATGGGGTCAGATCACTGGCTCTCATGTCCCTTCCGTACTGCCCCACCTCGCCCATACAGCCTGTGGGACATGGCAGGAAACCGGTGATACCTGGATACCAACATCAACCAAGACCCTGGGCTCCATTGTTCTTGCAATGTCTGTCCTTTCTCGGTGTTTCCTTAACTCAATATCCAGAGGTTTTCTGGGGTGCCAAACAAGGGATCCTCCATAGCATCCCTTGGCTCTTCTAACATGAGGGGGCTGTCATGAGTATCCCTCTATCAGGTAGTCACTGTTTGATTTGGAGCCTGGTAGCTCTTCAGAGAAGGGAGCCACTGTGAGTTACCAGTAACACTCATCAAAGCTGGGGCTTGGGCAGGAGAAGGGTGCATGGAACAGTAATTTTTATTTATTTATTTATTTATTAAAAATTTCCACCTTTTCCCCGCCTCCCTTTTCCCTCCCCCTCCCCACCTCTCCCTCCATCTCTAGTCCTAAGAGCAGTTAGGGTTCCCTGCCCCGTGGGAAGTCCAAGGTCCTCCCCTCTCCATCCAGGTCTATAAAGGTGAGCATCCAAACAAACCAGGCTCCCACAAAGTCAGTCCATGCAGTAGAATCAAAACCCAGTGCCATTGTCCTTGGTTTCTCATTCAGCCTTCATTGCCAGCCACATTCAGAGTGTCCAGTTTGATTACATGCTCCATCACTCCCAGTTCAGCTGGCCTTGGTGAGCTCCCATTAGATCAGTCCCACCGTCTCAGTGGGTGGACACACCCCTCGTGGTCCTGACTTCCTTGCTCATGTTCTCCCTCCTTCTGCTCCTCATTTGGACCTTGGGAGCTCAGTCCAGTGCTCCAATGTGGGTCTCTGTCTCTATCTCCATCCATCGCCAGATGAAGGTTCTATGGTGATATGCAAAATATTCATCAGTGTAGCTATCGGACAAGGCCAGTTCAGGCACCCTCTCCTCTGCTACCCAAGGAACAATCTGGGGACCTCTCCTTGGACCTGGGAACCCCTCTAGAGTCAAGTCTCTTGCAAACCCTAAAATGGCTCCCTTAATTAGATATTTACTTCCCTGCTCCCATATCCACCCTTCCTCCATCCCACATGATGGAGAGATCCCAGCAGTGTTCACTGCACTGCTGGAAGCCAGGAGCAGGCTGGGAAAGTAAAGGAAATAAGCCAAGTGCTTTGTGGAGAGAGAGAGAGAGAGAGAGAGAGAGAGAGAGAGAGAGAGAGAGAG